CTTGCCACTTTTTTGTGTCTTAACGAATTGTGATTTCAGCAGCCTTTGCTGTTAAGCGCTCAGTCTCAGAAGCCTAAGTGAGCAAAACGGATGCCCTTGAAGTGCTGGAAAGGAGGTTGAATGACTGGGTTTATTCGGCACTTATATTTTTAATAAACCCTCTTTACAGATCCCTGTTTTTTATCTTTTTTTTCTTGTAGGCATATCACAGTTGACTATTTTTAGAATCATTCTTCTGGTCTAATTTTTCTAAATGACTACGTAACATTGTTTTCTTAAACAAGTTTTGCATGCAACAACGCCATCTTTTCATTATGTCATTGATGCTTCTTTTCTTTCTCTGTTATTTTTTAAATGCTGTCGTCCTGGTTTCTGTTATAACTGCTGCAAATCTTTTGAAGAAATTTTGGGATTAGAAGTTTCAATTTATAAATCACTCAATGTCTTATTTCAGAATGAATAGTCAACGGGTGCTTAATATAACTACGACTCTAATTACAAGAATTCCCTGCGGAGGATCACAGTTTCCTGCAAGAATGGCTTCATCAGGTGCGGAGAAGCTCTTGAACATGCAAAACATCAACCCAAATGTTTTGACAATGGAATATGCTGTTAGAGGTCCAATTGTTATTCGTGCTGTGGAACTGGAGAAAGAACTTGCTAAAGTTAGATTTTAATTTTGTTTCTGCTTAAGATGGCTTACTAGTTCTGTTACGAAACTATTACGGAGGATACCATTTCTTACAGGGTGTTAAGAAACCATTTAAAAACGTAATAAAAGCAAATATTGGAGATGCCCATGCAATGGGACAAAAGCCTATCACTTTTATTCGCGAGGTATTTCTCTATAAAGTTTGTCATTGGTGTGTTTCCTTTATGCTTATTTTGCTGCGAATGTTTCCTTTTTGTCCTCACTGCGTTGCTTCAGATCTTATCTTGTCTTTCTAACCCGTCTTTAATGGATAAAGGTATTTATGCTGATGACGTTGTTGACCACGCGAAGACTATCCTGGGTGACTGCGGTGGACACAGTGCAGGAGCATACAGGTTAATTTACCCTTTTTGCACCTTTTGGATTTTATTGTTACACTAATGTTTTTGCTCTTAAAACCAACCCTCTGACGAGTCTTGCTAACTTCTTGAAAAATTTTTGTAAATTTATAGTTTTTATCTTGTTATTTGAGCACTCATTTTGATTATCAGTAATATATCATTTTTTTCGTTTTCTAGCCAAAGCGTGGGCGTTGATATAATTCGGAAACATGTTGCTGATTACATAAAACGACGTGATGGAGGTATTCCTTCTGATCCAGAGAATATATTACTTTCTGGTGGAGCATCAGAAAGCATTAGGGTAAGTTTTTAAATTGCTTTTCACAGTGTCCTAAATAGTTAGCGTTGTTTTCTTATAATTTGAATCATGATTTTTAACAGTTAAACTTTCAAAGTTAAATTTTCTCCTTTTTTCTGTTGACTGTAGCTTAACCATTTTAGAATGTTCTCAAATTGTTTATTAACAGAAAAGCTTCAAAACCAGCCGGCGTAATGATTCCTATCCCACAGTATCCTTTATATTCTGCCACTGTGGAAGAATACGGGCTTGGACAAGTATTTTAATTCTTTCTTTTTTCTTCAATTTGGAATCGCAGATTGTTTTTTTAGATAGTAAGGTGTCTTAAAATTCTCACTTGATTAGCTCTCAGGCACTCAAAATTTTAGGTTTCACTTGTCGCTTTTAGGTGGGGTATTACTTAGATGAAGATAACGGTTGGGCTCTTGACGTTGAAGAGCTAGAACGTGCATTGAAAGAACATGAATGTAAATTTGATGTGCGAGTTCTCTGTGTCATTAACCCAGGCAATCCCACAGGTATTAGAATGTTTATTTTGAGATGGATCTATGTAGAATAAACGTTATCTTTGCTATGGAAATAGAAAATGTGTTAATGGTCTCGCTCATTCTAGGTCAAGTTTTATCAGAGAAGAACATTGAAGAAATTATAAGGTTTGCCTACAAGCACAGACTGTTTCTTATGGCAGACGAGGTTTGTGATTTGTTTTTGTCAAACAATAATTGGCTCTAGTCATCAATTTTATGTTTCCATCAGTCTGTGTATTCTGATGCTTCTTTACATTTAAGGTGTATCAGGACAACATTTATGGAGAGGGTTGTGCGTTTCATAGCTTTAAAAAAGTGATGTGCAGCATGGGTGAACCATACTCAAAGTAAGTCATGTTTTTTTGGAAGTCAGTTGGCATAAATGTTCCTTGTCGGGACAGACGTGTTGTTGCAATTCTCTTCGAGGAAGCTTGGATCTTGTCTAACTTTGAAGTGTTTGCATAATATAGGTTCGAAGGTTTTGTCTGAAACACGGTAACATTTAAAGCCAAGTAAAAATCTGAATATACATTTGTATTTTTAGTCGTTGATGCATAAAGGATGTGCACAACTTGATTTACCTTCAGGATGGAGCTAGCATCTTTCCACTCTACTTCAAAGGGTTATATGGGCGAGTGCGGAATGCGTGGCGGCTATGTAGAGGTAATGAACATGTGTCCAGAAGTATACACCCAGTTTAAAAAGATGATATCCGCTAAATTGTGTTCTACTGTACTAGGACAGGTTAGCTTTTCTATCTCATAGGATTAAACCTTTTTGAAATGCTTAAATAGTATAGCGACTGTTAGTTTTTCAACCTCCTCTGAGCGTTCCTTAACCACTTTCTCTCCATTTAGGCGGTTGTTGACTGTGTTGTTAATCCACCAAGAAAAGGTGACCCGTCTTACGACCGCTGGGTTTCGGTAAGGCCGTTGTTGTCAAGTAAAGAGTTTCGTTTTTTATTTTGGATGAATCAAAGCCTAGTTCCGGCAAGTTGTACGTTTTATTCTTAGGAAAAAAATGCTGTTTTGGGATCGCTTAAAGAACGCGCCAAGCTGGTTCAGGAAGCTTACAGCTCGGTGAAGGGGATAGAGTGCAACCCAGTCCAAGGAGCAATGTATGCGTTTCCAAAAATCACTCTACCACCAAAAGCGATAGAGAAAGCCAAGGTTGACTGATTTTAACAGTAACCGAGCTATTCAAGAGTGACCTTATTAGTCGCTAAAGTTGAAAGTATACCAAGCTATTTTAGGCGATGGGTAAACCAGCTGACGTTTATTACGCAATGGAATTGTTAGAATCAACGGGGATTTGCATTGTACCCGGCAGTGGGTTTGGTCAGAGGCCCGGCACATACCACTTCAGGTAATTTTGCAGTATACGTGGTGTAAGAAGCCTCATGAATACTCGTTTTCCAGAACAACTATACTTCCTCAACCGGCGGTTATGAAAGATATGCTGGAGCGTTTCACTGCATTCCATACGAAATTCATTCGGGAGAACTCATAACGGAGGTAAGCAAGTCATGTTGCAGCCTGCAACACTGATCGTCTTCAGGCCGTTTCTATAAAGTATTCCATTAAAAGTTGATCAGCGGTGCGCTGTTGCAATACTATCGAAATTCTTTAATCTTTCAATCTGTTGACTTATGCCCTTTATTTCTCTTTAAATCATATGATACAATAAAACTGTGACAAGCTAAGGAAAACAAGCGTTTGAATAAGGTTGGAGCCAGCAATGTTCACTTTTGGGACGGAAGCTCAAGTCTGATCTCGCTGCCCTCTTCGAAAAAAAGTGAGCAGGCGTCTTTGCTTTGGAAAATTATTGACATTTTGCGATTAAAAAGCGGACTGAGCAGCAGCGTTTTTCCTTCCTTGACAAGCTAAGGAAAGTTTTGTTGTCATTGACAGGCCATTTACCGGAGTTTAGTGCTATCTTTCCTCGTTTCTTTCTATATGAATTGAGGACAGTGGTCAGAAGAAAGCACAGCCTCAAGTAAGACCCAAATCACGAAATATAGTATCCTGGAATCCTTGAAGCAATGTTGGCAGGACTGTTACGGACGCAAGCAGTATCTTTGGCTTACAATGTATTTACAGGTAACAACGAGAGACGAGAAGTAAGATATAGAGAACAAAAAGCTGGTTGAAGCATACTTATCACAAGTATCTTGAAACTCGATTAAAAACTCAATTGCGAAACAGATGCAATTTGATTTTTTCAGTTTAGCCTGAACTAGAAAAGAAAAATTCTTGTTATATTTTACGTAAAAAGTACGTTCACGCGAAAAAGCACAGAATTTTCAACATGGGCAGTGAAAATCTCATTTTTCAATAAGGATAACAAAAAAACAGAGTGAAGAAATGTAGCGGTAATTCAACAGGGTGTTTTTCGCAGAGAGTATGGAACGAAAGCTCAGATTTCATTTCAAGGTAGAAGTCAAGAGAAGTGATGAGGCGTGTGGGATCGTTTGTTATCTGAGGGAGTACAATAATTTTATTAAAAGAGGAAATAAGTAGAACGGAAGTGAATAAAAATGGAAATTTAAGTTTGTGAAAATGACGATATTAGAATAAAAAATTTGGAAAGCTGCAGACCAGTTGGTTTACCGTGTAATGTTTAAAATGGTACTGTTGCTTAACTTTTGCTGAAATATGATAGTGGGAACAAGGGATCCATGTATAAAATTTTTGTACTGCTGGTAGGTATACGTAAAAATAAAAAAACAGAGTGAAGAGAATGTATTGGTAAGTAGGGTGGGTAGATCGTAAATAGTAGCTCAAGTTCCTATCTTGCGAGGGTGTCTTAAAAAAGCACGACACTTCTGGAGCAAAGATCAAGACAAAAGAATCAGTGTGTAATGTCGGGCTGAAACCATTTTTCTCTTATCTCACAGAGGGTCGTTACGTAGAGCGACATTACAATATGAAGAGTGTTATATTGTAATGTTGCTCTTTCCAGTATCATGGAAAGCGGTTATAGAAAAGGACACCTTTCTACTCTATTTAATAAATTAAATTCAGAAAGGTATTTTGCGGTTTCTCTACGTCTAGCTGTTGTGCAAGCTCTGTATTCATAACTCTCCTTTTAATTTCATGCTGTTTTGTTTTATATTCTAAGATTACATTTTCAATTTACGTTGTATTTCGACTCTTGTGCGATCGGAGCGTAATAAAGTTTCGTTTAACCGTACTTTGCTCTGCACTCTAAACCATTCACAAAATAATTGTCGCGAGATATTAGGAGATCTAAGGAATTTAAGGTTAATAAATTCAAAGAATTAAATTTTAAACTTGGATTCACGACAAATAAAAAATTAATCTGCTAATTTTATTTTTGAAAAATGGATATCACAGCAGAGGAACAAAGCAACAGCAAATGTAGTACTCAATAAGTCAAATAAGAAAGGAAAACGTGAACTAAAAATTAAAGAACTTAATAGTAATCGAAAGCGAAAAAGAAGCAGAATTCCGAAGGCAATATTCAAAACATTAGTAAAGAATTAATCAAAAGTTAAAACTTAAAACTGCCAAAATTGGTAAAGAAATAATAAAAATTTTAAATCACTCAAGCGTTAAACTTCAAAATTATTTTCTCTCAATTTTAATTGAATGTCTCCTGTGGGGCTGTGTTATCTTTTGCAGCTCTCAGTATAAATACCTTCACTTTGGTCTGCCTTACTTGACTTATTTAACTTCGTCTTTTTTATGCTATTAAATATTGGTTAGAATAAGTATAAGACTGGACAAGGACTGACTAAGATTTCCACACCAAGATTAAAGCTGGAAATTGTGTTGTACGAGGCTGCTATGTACAATGTAATCTTAAAAACGATGACACTAAGATCTATAACTTGTGCAAGAAGACCAAAAACAATTATGAGTCACATCGAAGTATCGGAATTAAATGTCGCTATGGTAAATGTAAACGAGAAATGATGGTGCATCTGCTTACTTTGAGTAGTACAGGAACTTTTCTTGACAATACCATAGTCAAGGTTTACAGTACTGCAGTGCTGAGCATAAAAAAGGTTGAGACAGGACTGCGGCGCTTCGCTCAACTTTTTTTTACAAAACGCTGCATCTAACATATCTAGTTCTCTATTTCTGTAATGGGGATTTTATTGCTGCCTTCTTTCGAAGATTGTGATCGTTCATTGTAGCCCTTGCTTCATAGAGTATCTCATTATCCAACCTGTAATGATGAAACTTGAGGAGGAAAAACTGTTTATTGCGTGAGGTGGTATATGGCCTCATTGAAACTATAATGTCTACAATTATGATGGATGTCGCACTGACTACGCCAGTGATGAATGAGCAGCGGTTACAAATTTTCAAATACAATTTTATTGTTTGCAAAGAAATATTACAACGGGATATTAGAATACAATGTAAAAACACGTTTACTAGTAAATGGTTTCTTGCTGTGATTTTAAAAGTGATTTACAAATTTTTGAAGCATTACAGGATTTTGGAGCTTCGAGTAGAGATATTTTTCCACCAAAATTTCCAGATTTTTATGGTTATCAATTTCTCTAAAGTAGAGGCAATTCTTCTACATCAACCTAATATCCCCCGTAAGAAGGCTGATATACAAGTAGCGTGGCGAGTCTTCGAGGGTGAAGAACTATAAGACTGTGATTCAGTAAACGGTAATATCTTGCAAGTAAATTTTAAGCAATTCTTTGAGACTTGAAGATAGTAATTTGTAAGCTACAGTGTTTTTGTTTCAGATATTTTTTTCCTACATGGACCAAAAAGTTCTGGCTTTCAAAGTGGTACAGATAATAAACACAACACAGATAACAACTGACAGGGCATGTATATTTGAGGAAATTTCACTTGCAACCAGCCATATATAGGCGGATTCAATCCTAATTTCCACTGAGCGGAA